AAAATGCACCCAATCAGAAATAAGATGGTAATTATTAAAATCCAGTAGTTTGAAAAACAGACTGCAGTCACAATAAATGTTTGGAGTTCTGAAGAATTTTCATTTTAAAAGTGAACTGTCATTAAGTAATTCTGATGTTTGTAAGAAGATCTATGTAGCGCTTGTAATTTATTTTTAACTTTTTAATGTTACTGCAAAATGCAAACTGGGAGGTTTGATTGCAGAAGGCTTCACATGTCATTTCAAATAACCAGTGGGTAGAAAAATTAAATCCTGCTAATCATCGTTGTAGCTCTGAAAAAAATCTCTGTGATGATATTTTTCATACATATAAGCCAATGCTTCTGAGAATTATGCATTTATGTGGAAATTTAGGTTTGACACTTTCCAATAGGCTGGGCTATAGTGCTTGGAAAGAAGAAAAGCAAGATGAACAATATTGGTGCTGGTGTATACAAAAGGCAGCATGAGCTGATAAGAAACAGGGATGGAAGCAGCTTGTCTGAACGCAAGCCAAAAAATGGGGGATGTCATTACAGTTGGTACTTCAGCCAAGTGAAGAAAGTATGTATATGAAAAGAGTTGCAGGTGGTGTTTACAAGTTTTGGTTGTCTGATTAATGGGATCTACCATCTACAAATTTTATCTTAGACTTAACAGAACTGCCCTAAACCTTTTTGAAAGAACTAGTAACATTGTGCAGCTTCCAGCATTGCCTATTTTCATGTCAAATTGCAAAATCTCAAGAGCAGGTTTCTGTGTAGTCTTTGTCATCACACTAGCAGGCATAAGCAAGTAAACACAAAATGCAAAATATTTTAGGAATGAAGTGCCAGTTTCATGCATCACTTTTTTGTTGCTGCTGTTTTTTGTTGAGTTTTTTTGGGTCTAATTCAGAAAACAGTACAAACAAAGGAAAAATAAAAACGTTTTCAATCACAAAAAGGAGTTTGGTCATTGAGGAGAATGAAGAAAGAAGGCATGAAGACAGTATATATTCCAGCAGACACCCTTCAGAGGGATTTTCATGCAAGCAGAAGGAAGAGAAAGCATAATGGCAGAAGGACTGAAGAAAATAAAAGGCTAATGAGGTGGCATGACAGCCTGATACAAAAGGTGGAGAGAACCTGGCAACTAAGAATGTGCCTAAAAGAAGGAACAAAGCGTGTGTTAGCTTCTAAAAAAAGAAAGGAAAATATAAAGAGCATGTGACAAAAATCCCACTCGAATCCAGAAATATTTTTGTTTATTTTGCTTAATGTTTAGCATAACAATCCAGCTAGATGCAAAAACATCTTTTCATTGCATTCAGAGCAATTTTACAAAGAAAAACAAATTACTCCCACTCTTCCTCCTATGATTATATTCTAAAATGGCTTGAAACACGCTTGGAGTCAATATGAATAGTAAGAAGAAAAAAAGCAGATGCAATTCAACTCTAAATCATCTTCAGATTCTCTCATTCTTTCTTTTACTATTTACACATGTGGCTTCATACCCATAATCTTTCCAGTTTCTGATCAACAACAGGCAATGCAAGCAGCAAACATAACGGACTGGATTTGTTCTCTTATGGACTGTTCAGAAGCCTTATAGACAGCAGTATCAATCTCTCCTATAGTCTATATTATGTAAAATGGTTCAGCATCCATGGAATAATTAATGTAGG